TTTATTTGTTTATTTATTTATTTATTTATTCGATAATTAATTCATTTATTTATTTATTTATTCCTTTTTTTTTGTTTTTTTTTTAATTTATATATTTTTTTTTTATCTCTTTATTTATTTTTTTCTAATTTGTTTATTTTTATATATTAATATATTTTATTTATTTATTCATTTATTTATTTATTTATTTATTTATTTGTTTTTTGATTTACTTATTTATTTTATTGCTTATTTGTTCATAAATTTATTTATTTTTATTTTTTCATTTTTTCTTTATTTATTGTTTAATTATATTTTTTTATTGATCTTTTTATTGATTAATTAATTTGAGTTTAGGTCGATTTATTTATAAGTTTATTTTTTATTATTCTCTTAATTTATTTATTAATTTACATATGTTTTTATAACTTTATTTATTTATTTCTTAATTATTTATTTATATATCCATTTTGATTTAATTATTTATTTATTTCCCATTTTTTATCTTTTTTTAATCTATTTATTTATTAATTTATTTATTTTTTATTTTTTTTTATTTATTTATTAGTTTATTTAATGATTTATTTATTTATTTATTCATTGGTTGACTTTGTTATTTATTTATTTGTTTATTTTTCTTATTTATTTATATGTTTATTTATTTATTTATTTAATCATTAATTCTTTAATTTATTTATTTATTATATAATTTTTTTTTAATTTTTCTATTTTTGAATCTTTTTATTTATTTTCTTATTTGTTTATTTACATATTTATTATATATTTATTCATTTATTTATTTATTTATTCATTTATTTTTTTATTCTTTTATTTATTTATTTCTTTATTTATTTATTTATTTATTTACTTATTTGCTGATCAATTTATCTACTTAATACATAAATTTAAATTTATTAAACTATTTATTAATTTATTTTTAAATTTTTTTTTATTTTTTTTTTATATATTTATTTATGTATTTCAACATTTATTAATTTATTTGTCCGAATTACTTAATTTATTTACTTATTTATTAATTAATTCATTGATTTTACATTTATTGATAAGTTATATATTTTTTTTATTTTTTTTTATAGATTTATTTATTCATAAGTTTTTTTTATCTATTTGTTTATTATTTTTTATTTACATGTTTATTAAATCATTTATTTATTTATTTATTTATTTATTAATTTTTGTATTCATAAAATAATTTTTGAATGAATTTATTTATTAAGTAATTGATTATTTATGTATTTATTTATTTATTGATTTTTTTTATTGTATTTACTTATTTATTTATTACTTTGATTTTTTTATTTATTTATAAGATATTTTATTTATTTATATACGGTGTTGGAATTTTATTCATGAACGTCAATAAGATTTGATTTATTATAAGAATATTGAAATATGTATAAACAATAAGGTTTAATTTGAAATATTAGTAAACTTTTAAAAGTTTTGTAAATTGTAGTAAACAAACAAAAAGGTTAATTTTTAAGCTGAAAATGCATTAAACCATCATATTTGTAAATTCATATTTCTGAATTTTCCATTATGTTTTGAAATCTTGTAGCCAAATTGTATAGATTCCTGCGACCCAAACAGACCGTGACCCACCAGTGGGTTGCAATTCATAGATTGAGAAACACTGCAATAGAATGTAGGTGCATTTTTCAAAGCAGTACCAAACGATGCAAGTTAGCTCAAGACCTGAAACCTTTAGCACAATCGAATGCTGAGATCAGATCTCAGTCACTTGAGATGGAATGACCTGCAATTATTGACATCAAGTTCAACTTGAGAATAATGCATCAAACCATGGAAAAACGGTGCCCAGGTCTAGCTCCGTTGGTGTCCATCGTCCAACTTGGTGACCACTCCTTCCGACCAACTAACGTCGAGAGGTCTGCTAGAATGATAGCTTTCAGCACTGACAAAAAAAAAATAAAAACAAACGTTGACGAACACTTTCTCGTGCCGACAACGATGGGTGTAGATCACTATGATTGACCGTAATTACTGCTTCCAATGTCAGTAGGGCAAAATGGGAAATTTCGGGGCGCTTAGTCTGTATAAGGTAAGCACACATTAGTCAATTATTCACGGGACTCTTTTTCTCCCTTATGATAGGCATCAACAAATCATCATGGCTGCCAGTTTCGTTGTTGTAGCTTATTGATAGTCATCAGAGGAATAAAGGCAGGACGGGGGCTGGATGGGTGAGTAACACTGCTACCTATCAGCAGGTGACAATCGCTCTGTCGTATGCGGGAGTATTCTATTTTTGGGGCCACATTTAGGACATGACCTGGTTTTCGTGGCGCTCCTACGACGCCAAAGCTTGCAGTGAACAAAATATGCACACATCACGGTTAATAATTGATAGGATGACTTTTGGCTTTTGTGCTTGGTCAAGAACATGATGGAAATTTTTCCGAACAAGAAATCGATAGAGACGGAGACCCGTTGGAATCATAGACATTCATTTGAATATGAATATGCAGCGTGGTTGGTTTCGCCCCAAAAATGTATCACATCGATCGGTGTACCATTCAATTATGATGGTGCTTCGTCGATTGTCATTAGTCAGCAGTTCAATTCGGGGAATTGCGTAGTGGCTAACTGGGAAAATGCGTTTCATTTTCCCCTGGGATTACAAATCCATTCAATTAGCCAAGTTGATGATTGCGCTTTGCGTCATTATCTACGTCCAACGTGAACCAACAAGTGAGTCAACCTAGTCCAATTGAAAGCACCACTGGCCCATTGGCGTAGCTAATGGGGGTGCCTAGGGGGCCAGGCCCCCTCCAGAATTGATCGTTGATTTATTTATTTTTTAAATTGACTATATCAGAATCACCAAAAATGCAGAAGGGGGCCTGCCCCCTGCCCCGCAAGAGACGCCAACGACCGAAGACATCGCAAACCCGATTAGAACGGTTCCATATCCTTTCGATTGGATTTCGATCTCCCGCAGGGGGTGGTGGACATGTTGCTTCTGGTTTATCGTGCAACAGATGACATCCTGAACTATGTGCAATAACAACTCTCTGCTTTTCCACGACTTCAGCCGGTTACGATGCATGGGCGCAGAGAAACTGACTCCCAATCATTTACATTCTGAACCGTTGGATGCTCGATTGTTTGAAAACACTACTTGGCTAGAATTTAACGATTCTCACGCACGATTTGAAATTCAATTGCATGCCAGTACATTTGTGTGGGCGTGTGTGCCGGCGTGCGTGTGTGTGATGAAATTTTACGATAAGGCTCTTTGATGGGGGTGGAAAATGGATGGATAATCGGAACCGGATATGCGTGACTGGGTCGGGTAAAATACTAGCAAACGCAATTAACTCGCATTAGGACGTGCAATGGTTTCCGGTCACGTATGAATGTGAGTGAATCGAGGATGCAGTTTTCCGTAAATGGAATTATTTGAATCCTGGCAGCTAGTGTTAAATGTAATTATCTGATTGCTGGGCATAAACGACTGCATTTTAGTTTATGATGGTTTAGAATTCCAAGAAGTGAATGATGAATGAATTATGAACCGAGTGGTGAAAACTATAATTCAATAACCATTTAACTTCAGTTTTTAATTGAACAGTCCCACGCCAAATGACGAATTGAATGTCTCAGACGTCATTTCGATCAGAAGTAAAAAATGCACAAATTTAAGCAATCATGAGAATCATTGCCCATAACAAACAATTACGCAAAGTTTCATACAAATCAGAGAAGGCCGATTCAAAAAATCATGTTTTCAACTTCAAAATTTTCGCTATTTTGTGTGGAACTGCTCAATAACTTTTTTCCAGGATGGATGTGAAGGAACATTTGTTCAAGAAGAACATCATAGAATCACTTCAATTATTTGAAAAAATCCCTACAATTATTAAAAGGAATTTTAGAAATTTTAGAAGTTATTGTGAACGCAGCTATGTCAGCTTATGTACGAATACGGATTTCCGGATAAACTGAGGAATTTATCAAGGTGTCGATAGGTCGATTGATATGCGTTGTCCGAGTATTGAGAACACTCTCGAATTACTTTGAATCTTAAAAACGGTTACGGCAAAGAGATGGTCTTTCGAGTCTACTGTGTAATATCACTTTGGAAGAGGATTTAAGGAATTCCAGGGTGAATTCAAGGAATTCCCTGGGTGAGTTTAAAGAACTTTCCGGGTGAATTCATGGAAATCCTCGGAGGAATTCATGAAAATCCGTAGTGGAATCTAAGGAATTCCTACGGTGGAATTCAAATAAATTCTGGAATTATAGGAATTCTAGGGATTCCCCGGATGAATTTTAGAAATTTCCCGGAGGAATTCCCGAAATTCCCTAGAGAAATTCAGGCAACGCAACGAGAAATGCTTTGACAAACATGTACGACGACTACGATCGGCACACAAGCCAAGCAACTGGAATCACTCCTGGAATGGGGCAAAGCAACAAATAACAATCGCTATCGTGAGAGCACCGAATACGCTTTTGGTTTGACCTCCAAAGCCCAGACAACAATATCAAAACCGGCGTCGGAATTAATTTCGAGGCTGCCAATTATCTGCCGATCTAACCACAATTAGATAAATTACGCACGCATCTTTCGGTGTCGCCCTAAATGGGTGCCCCAATCCTAGACCAAAACCGAACTGTTTCACAAGCTCAGACAGACGGTTACCGTACCAGTTGTTCTGGGTACATTTAAAATTTATACTCGTCGAGTGGCTGTTTTCCACAGCAGCACCGCCCGTCATAAATATTGATGGAAAATCGATACAGATTACATACGACTTCTTGTGTCATCCCCATATTCTTCTTCAACAATGCAACAATTGGCCCGCCCATTCACCCTGTGTCTGTCTCCCCCAGGCCAACAACCGAAGAATCAGATTGCAAACCTTGAATGAATGAAAAATCGATCTTCTCTTCGCCCCACCCCGGTCTCGCAAGTTATCCCCTACCCCGTGTAATAAACATATGAATATACATGGACAAGTGACTGTACTTACACTGAGACATGGTAAATAAAGCACTTGTAGCCGGCGGGGCGCTCCAAGAAATTGTACACCTGGCCCTGGAATGTGGCCCGTCCAGCGTGCCGCCGTTGGGCTTTCACGTAGCTGCGCGTTGCTTCACCCCACTCCTGCGGACCACCGCGGTCCACCGACAGTTGGAGACCTGCAACAGGAAAGAACGTGAGTGTGTTTTGGTTTGGGGTAGTTCTATTGTCTAGATTAAAATAAGGACTCACGAATACAATATAAAAATTGCCAAAACAAAAAGGAGCCGGTAGTGTGGTAGGAACTGCTGAAGAAAGTCGAAAGCACGGTCGAAAGAAAAATCCGGCGGAAATCGAAAGAATGCCAGAAGAAGCTTCCGAGTAAAGTCGAAATAGGTTACGGATGAAAATTCATGGGGAAAGAGGGGTTGAAAACTTTAATCGCGTGTATCTCCTTAATTAAGGCCTAATTGCGATTTTTACATCGGCTCGATGAAGGATGGAAGTTTTTCTGCGTGAATTTTCGAAATCTTAGTTTAGTATTTTTTGTGGATAGAAATAACATTCACAAAGTGTTTCGAAGTTGAGCCACCAGTATCCAACAAGGCTCGCTTCGTCAGCAGACTGCGGCAATGCCTCTCAGTAAACCCGAACTGCGCATGGCGTATTGCGCTTGACGCTATGGTCCAAGCCTGTGCAAGATCGGAATCATGCTCTGCAATGGAATTGTATATCGCATTAACCATACCCAGAAGAAGATACAACGAGGGTGGTGGGCACACACATCCAGTATCAAGGTTGCGTCATTTCCAGGGATAACCGGTGTGTGTACGCAGTTGAAATAATCCTTTGCGTTTATCTTGTTGCCTCCATTTGCAAACCCCGATGCGCTGTTTTCCCCCAACGGACCCGATTGTACGCAGCGTGCCAAACTTCTCCCCCAAATCTTTCTTGTTCATGGTACAGAACGCACAAGAATACGTTGAACTATTGCTCATTACACCCGCTATTAGGTTAATGATCTTGAGATCACCTAGAACGAAAAATCGAATTGAAGAACTGTTTCAAGAATATGAGTCCACCCAATTATGTACCTGAGACAACGGTATCGAGTAATCCAAGTTCCAACATTGACCATATTTTGGCAACGTTCTCATAATTTTCCTGAACATCTTCTACTAATGTGAGAATGAAGCAGCGTTTGACTCCAGAATTCTTATGAACCTACTGTTCCGAACCTTCCAGTCTATCCTCAATGTTGAGGATAAACTTCAGCGACCCTTTACCACCATCTTTTCTTTTTTTTTAACTCTGTATTTGTTCCAAATTCAAAATAAATTACATTTCATTTTTAACCTAGGTGCTCCAGTTACTGCAGTAACGTACCAGCCTTAATTGTTATAATATATATCTAAGTGTTTTTACATTGTTCATGTCTTGGCAATTAAGTATTTTAAACAGGTTTTTTAACCTGCATGCAAAACTAAAACTAAATCTTATCTAAGTATAAAGGGAATTAATCGTTGCAATTGAGGATTGCAACGATTTTTGCCTGAAATTATTCATTATTTTGTTGGACATTTGTTCTAAAGTCTCAACATTCGAAATTCTATGTACCTCGGTAGTACTGTACCAGGGAGGCAACTTCAAAATCATTTTCAGAACTTTGTTCTGAATCCTTTGAAGTGCTTTTTTCCTGGTAGTGCAACAACAAGACCATATTGGCACAGTGTAAAGCATGGCCGGTCTAAAAACTTGTTTAAATATTAGAAGTTTATTCGTCAGGCAAAGTTTGGATTTCCTGTTTATAAGAGGATACAAACATTTTATATATTTGTTACATTTGGCTTGAATGCCCTCAATGTGATCTTTAAAAGTTAATTTTTGGTCAAGTATTAATCCAAGATATTTCACTTGGTTTGACCAGGAAATTGGAACTCCGTTCATAGTGACTATGTGACTACTACTAGGTTTCAAAAACGAAGCTCTAGGCTTGTGTGGAAATATTATAAGTTGAGTTTTGGAAGCGTTGGGAGAAATCTTCCATTTTTGTAAATAAGAAGAGAAAATATCTAAACTTTTCTGCAGTCTGCTGCAAATAACACGAAGACTTCTTCCTTTAGCGGAAATGCCTGTGTCATCAGAAAACAAAGATTTGTGGCAACCCTGAGGCAAATCAGGGAGGTCCGAAGTGAAAATGTTATACAATATAGGCCCAAAAATGCTACCCTGAGGAACTCCTGCTCTAACAGGTAGTCGATTAGATTTGGAATTTTGATAATTTACCTGCAGAGTTCTGTCAGTTAAATAATTTTGAACTAATTTCATAATATAAAGTGGAAAATTAAACTTTTTCAATTTAGCAATCAAACCTTCACGCCAAACACTGTCGAATGCTTTTTCTATGTCTAGAAGAGCAACTCCAGTTGAGTGGCCTTCCGATTTGTTTGAACGAATTAAATTGGTAACTCTTAAGAGTTGATGAGTAGTTGAATGCCCATGGCGAAATCCAAACTGCTCATCTGCAAAAATTGAGTTCGTATTGATGTGAAGCATCATTCTATTCAAAATTATCTTTTCAAAAAGTTTACTTATTGAAGAAAGCAAACTTATTGGACGGTAGCTAGAAGCTTCAGCTGGATTTTTATCCGGCTTCAAAATTGGAACAACTTTTGCATTTTTCCATTTATCAGGAAAGTATGCCAAATGGAAACATCTGTTAAATAATTTTACCAAGAAAGACAAGGTACTCTCTGGGAGTTTTTTGATGAGGATATAGAAAATTCCATCATCACCTGGAGCTTTCATATTTTGAAAATTTTTAGTTATAGACCTTACTTCGTCCAAATCAGTCCCCCAGGAATCATCAAAAATATTTTCCCGAGAGAAAATATTCAGAAAATCCCGAGCAACCTGATTCTCAATAGGACTAGTAAGACCCAAACTGAAATTATGGGAACTCTCGAATTGCTTAGCAAGTTTCTGAGCTTTTTCCAAATTTGTGATCAAAATTTTACCACCTTCTTTAAGCGCTGGAATAGGCTTTTGAGGTTTTTTCAAAATTTTTGTGAGTTTCCAAAAGGGTTTGGAACTCGGGTCTAATTTAGAAATATTATTTTCAAAAGTTTTGTTCCTCAGGGCAGAGAATTGCTTTTTAATTTGATTTTGCAAATCCCGCCAGATAACCTTCATGGCAGGATCGCGTGTTCTTTGATATTGTCTCCTACGGACATTTTTAAGACGGATCAAGAGCTGAAGATCGTCGTCTATTATAATTGAATCGAATTTAACCTCGCATTTTGGTACTGAGGCAGCTCTTGCTTCAACTATAGAAGTAGTCAGAGATTCAAGAGCATAATTAATTTCATCTTTGGTTTGCAAAGGAATGTTTGGATCGAAGTTATATTCCATAAATGTTCGATACTGCTCCCAATCAGCTCTATGGTAATTGAAAGTAAAGCTGTTGGGATTACAAATTATTTCTTGAGATATTTCAAAAGTTACTGGAAGGTGATCAGAACCGAAGTCAGCATGGGTAACCAGTTGGCTACAAAGTTGACATGAATCAGTTAAGACCAAATCAATAGTGGAGGGATTTCTTGCAGAAGAAAAGCATGTTGGGCTGGTTGGATATTGTATAGTGTAATAACCTGCAGAACAATCATCAAATAGAATATTACCATTGGAATTGCTTTGAGCATTATTCCATGAGCGGTGTTTTGCATTAAAATCACCAATAATGAAGAATTTAGACCTATGACGGGTAAGTTTCTGGAAGTCACCCTTGAGAAAATTCTTTTGCTGGCCTACGCATTGGAATGGCAAATAGGCAGCTATAAACGTAAGTTGTCCAAATTTTGTTTCAACAGAAACTCCCAAAGTTTCAAAAACTTTGGTTTCAAATGAAGAAAGAATTTTATGTTTGATTCGTCTATGAATAATGATGGCAACGCCACCACAGGGTCCATCAAGACGATCATTTCTATAAATCAAGTAATTTGCGTCCTTCTTAACCTTATGGTCAGGTTTAAGGAACGTTTCAGTTATAACGGCAATATGCACGTTATGAACTCTCAAAAAGTTAAATAGCTCGTCTTCATTATCTTTAAGAGATCGAGCATTCCAATTTACAATATTTAATGCTTTAAAATCCATTACTGAATTTTAAAGTCATGACAATATTATTTGCAAATTTTACTCCAGTTTGAATAGCATCCAACATGGAGTTAGATTTAAGCATATCAGAAATCATGTCAATTAATGATTTCTGTAAAAATTCCATTTTAGGGGCAGTAATGCTTCCTAAGTCAAAATTGTCAAAATTTCCGTTAGAATTACTTTGGTTAGTATTTTGATTTCTACCCGGTGCAATAGCAGCATAGGTAGCTCCATTAACTCGCTGAACATTGTTAGCAACGAGGGGAGTAGGTACAGATGAAAAATTTGAAGCAGGGGTGATATTTGTACCTACGGGTACGAATGTAGAATTTGTTCCTCGCTGACTGTTGTTAACAGCAGAGGAATTTGTACTTGGTCGGAAACGTGGAGCGTTTCTTACCTGTCGGTTAGAACGAGATTGTAGGATCGCTTTGCGAGTCTTACATTCCCAAAAATTGGATTTGTGGTTTTCACCACAATTTGAACATTTAAATTTCTTAGGATCTTCCTTCACAGGACAGTCGTCCTTTGCGTGAGAGGAATCACCACAATTCATGCATTTAGCTGGCATGTAGCAATTTTTAGTTCCGTGACCCCATCCCTGGCACTTACGGCACTGAGTGAGGTTTTGGAAATTTCCTCCAGTCTTCCTGAAGTGTTCCCACTTCACTCGGACATGGAGCATAAGGCTAGCTTTTTCTAAGGCCTTAAGGTTGTTTAGTTCACTAGACTTGAAGTGAACTAAATAAAATCATTAGAAATCCCGTTGCGCGAATCGCCAGGACGGGATTTCATTTTCATTTTGATTATTTGGAGTGGCACAACTCCAAGTAATTTTGCCAGTTCATCTTTGATCTGATCCAGGGATTCACCACTGGGCAGTCCTTTCATGACAACCTTGAACACACGTTCAGTTTTGGTGTCGTAAGTAAAAAAATTGTGCTTCTTCTCAGTAAGATACTTGAGAAGACATTTAAATCCGTCCAAGGTTTCAGCCAATACACGGCATTCACCCCGACGT